TTGTTAATGTTCCATTTTTCTATCTCTCTGAATCCCGTACTAAGCTTCAATTACGTTTTGAACCCACCAATTGATCTATTTTTGGAATTTTAACACCCCGCTTTTAATGTAGAAACGCCCGATGCTTTTGTTTCACGCGTCATTGCTTCTTTATCCGCGTCAGTTTTGACGAAAAAATCAGTCCAATTGCTGAAGACAAATCTGAAAACTGCAAATTTCCTAATGGATATAAATCGAATTTAATTGAATGGACAGCACGAGTACGCTAAAGCCTAGGGCGCAGAAAAAGAGTGGTGGCAAAGTTATAATACATCTGCTTCGATTGTCTTCGTCGCTCAATATTTGCTTGGAAAAGTAGTACCTACATTGCTCCAAGTTCTGCACCTCATTTGATATTATTTATAGGTATAGTATATGCGGATAAAAATAAGGGTAGCTTTGAGATTCCCGAGTACCTACCATGTATCTGCGAAATATTCGTAATTTGAAAAAGTACATAAAATGTTCTTAGATATTCGTCGTACAAATACTTTCATATTGTAACGGAAACGCTCCAGACATGACGTCGCCTTTGGCGCTCTGGAATTTTCTACGCGCGCGATAGTGGGATTTGTGTAGGAATATTCGAGAATGTACGCGGATGTTCTGGACTTACATTGCTTGCGTGTATAAATGGTTGCGGACCGAACATCGTCTACTACCGAACGAGTACGGACGAAACATCGAGCGCGGAAATATAAATTGCGAAGTGTGTGATATAAATAATCGATATAAATTGTTCGGAATTTATAGTGTTTTAGTTTTGTTTAATAAATATTGATATAAATCGAACCCGAATTTATAAATCACGTTACAATATCTTCTAGAAATTTTCCTACAATCTTTCCTGAATATTTTAGAATCCTCTTAGAATCCTAGTAGAATCTTCGTAGGATATTCTATAGAAACGTCTAGAATCGAAATCTAAGAATACTCTTAGAGCATTCGCAGTATCTTCTTAATATCATCGTAAAATTTTAGAATGTGCAGGGTGGTCCAAATTGGTCACTTTCTTATAGAAATGCCCTTTATTTTAAGAGATATGAAAAAATGGAGCTAGGAGTTCAATCTTAAAGAGAAAATCTCTGTGACAAACATAATTCAGCTATGGCCATTAGGGGACGTTTCTCGAATTTAATCGATTTCTTTAATGCGCTATAAGTTTCTTATTATTAAAGATAATTGATTTTGGCAAAATCTTTCTTAGGGCACTTCTTTATCTATAATCTATCGCGATTCACAGTGTGTATACAGGGTGTTTGGTTTGTCCTATACGACCTTAAACTACATTTTTTCATATGGACCACCCTATACCTATATTTTGGAGTTTGAAAAGAGCAACAGATGGCAGGATTGTTTAAACTGAAAATTTCTTTATTATTTTGACATTTTTATTGCTTCCAAATATATGTAATTTCAAATTTCTTTTGTTCACCATGGAAACCTAGATGTCTGCAATAAAAATAGTTTAATGTATAAAATGCAATATTGCAAATAATATTTAATATAAATATAGTGATACATCAAAATTTAGGAAATTTTACACTCTTTTCAAAAACTCCAAAATAAACAGGGTAGGCCATTAGTGTGTGGGTGAATGTTAATGGACCCTTAAAGCTACAATCTAAAAATATTTTCACCGAAATTGCAATTGTTATACAGAGTGATTTATATCAAAGTTGTATTTTTTTTAATGGAACCCCCTGTATATTATATTAAATAATGGGTAGATATCATGTGTAATACATAAGGTCACACTAAAATTGACCAAGGAATCCAAATATGTAATAATATATAGGGGGTTCCATTAAAAAAATGCAACTTTGATATAAATCACCCTGTATAACAATTGTAATTTCGTTGAAAATATTTCTAGTTTATAGCCTGAAAGGCCCTTCAACATTCTCCTACAATGAATTTTATTTTAAGTATGCGCGTTAATACACCCACAATCTTTCACCCACACACTAATGGCCTACCCTGTACATATAGGGTGGTCCACATGAAAAAAATGTGGTTTAGGGTCGTATAAAAAACCAAGCCCCCTATATAAAAACGATTGATTCTACATAAAAAAGTCCTCTAAGAAAGATTTTGCCAAAATCAACTATCGAGGCATTAAAGAAATAAATTAAATTCTAGAAACGCCCCCTAGCGGCCAAACGATTAGAGATAGCTGAATTCTGTTTGCGCCAGTGATTTTCTCTTTAAAATTGATCTCCAGATACCTAGGTCAATTTTTTCCTATCTCTTGAAATAAAGCGCGTATCCATAAGAGAGTGTCCAATTTGGACCACCCTGTAGCCAACTTCTTAGAGTCTCCTGGGATCATGAGGGAAATCTTGAGACTTTTCGGAGTTCTTGTGCAATCTTCTGAGAGTCTTAAAATATTCAAAACGTCGTAGGATATTTCGTCTTGAAATTTTTTTAGAATATTCTCAGAATTTTCGTAAGATCTTGCCATCTCCTTTTAAAAACGTTATTAGACTCTGTGTAGCGTGTTTAGAACATTCAGAAAAGAACCCTTGGCCCATTTAGAGTTGGGATTGTAATTATCGTGGTAAATCGTAATAAAACAGTGTGTCCCCCGATTTTTTGCTCGTAAAAAAGTTTCGGATTGACTTTAGAGCTTCTAAAACTAATGTCTGACATCATTTTAGTTTAAAAAAATCAAGGGTGCCTTTGAAATTCTCAAAAAAAAGTTTTTGGACAAATGTTAAGAAAAGTTGTTTAGAATTCATAAAAAAACTGAGTAAATGTTTAAGTCCTAGGCCTACTTTGATTTTTGTATGGTTTTATTTTTCTAACTGGATACTTTGAGGAGGTCCAAAAAAATCTTACTTAAAAAAAACTATTAACAAAAGAATGTAATGGCCCTGTAGCGAATTTAAAATCCTCAATTTACCTACATTATATAATGTAAATAAAATATCGAAGTGTTCCTATCGGATTCAATTACACGGTCATTACATTCTATTGTGAATAGTTTTTTTCAGTAACATTTTTTCGAATTTCTTCAAAAAATCCCATTAGAAAAAAAACCAAAAAAAAATCAAAGCAGGCCTAGGACGTTTGTTTAATATTTCAAACGCACCCTTGATTTCTCTAAAGTAAAATTATGTCAGAAATTAAATTCCAACCAAGCGAGATGCCAAGAGGCGACCAAACACTTGGGGGACACACTGTAAATTTGTTTGATATTCTGCATGGCCCACGGAAGACATTCAGTGGTTCAACGACGCTTAAAAGGGTGTTGAAAATTTGCTGTGCAGATAGCACGGACGATTCTGCCCTTCTAAGAATATGTGTACCAAATTTTATTCTAATCGGTTAAGCCGTTTAGTCGGAAATGAGAGTACAGACCGACCGACAGACCGACATCATGACGACACGTGGATTTCCGTCAAAAGAGTGGGGAGGGGGTCATTTTTACCCCAATGCAGTACCTCCCTTACTAACGTACGGGTGGTAATAAGGGTAGTTTTGAGATTTCAGAATACCATGTAACATATTCGTAATTTGAATAAGTAGATAAATTCTTCTTAGATTTGTCCTACCTAATACTTCATATTTTCTAGGAATTTTCCCTGAATATTTTAGAATTCTCCTAGAACCCCCTTTTAAAATCTTTTTAGAATCTTCGCAGACTCAGCATATTCCGAAAAAAAATTTCGAATTTAATTATTTTTGCGTTTATTTTGAGTGGACGGGGTTTCAGCCAAGGCTGCTCTACCAACCCTATACACCATACAGTTAGAAATATCAATGCCCGAACCCGGGTTCGAACCAAATGCTGTTCAAAATTCAGAAAAAAAAAACTGAGTAATTTCACAGTCCTAGGTCTACTTTGACTGTTTTATGGTTTTATTTTTTAACCGGATATTTACAGCAATCCAAAAAAATGTGTTAAAAAAATTTATAATTACCGTGTAGCAAATTTGAATCCGATAAGAGCACTTCAATATTGAAATCCTGACATTAAATATTGTAAATAAAATATCTAAGTGTTCCTATCGGCTTCAAATTTGATACACGGTCATTGCATTCTATTTTGTACAGTTTTTTTAAGTAACATTTTTTCGGATTTCCTCAAAAAATCCAATTTAAAATAAAAACATTAAAAAATCAACGTTGGCCGAGAACGTTTTTTGAAATTTTCAAAGGCACTCTTGATTTTTCGAAACACGCAGCCATCTCCTAGCAACTTAGAGTCGTATACATGTTTTTCAATCATTATAATTCCTCATATCTCATGAGCGGAGTGTCGGAGGAGGGCACTTACAAAATGCGATTGGAACATCTGAACGAAATATATTTATTGGTGACGTTAAAACTTTCAGTGCAAGTATCTGCCGAACGTAGTCTCGGAGGAGGGTATAAATTTGGGGCTTGGTGGGTTTCAGAAAGGGGTATACTTCTGTAATACACCAATTTTATTATACCTTCTGCAGGGGATGTTATAGTAGTCAGTTGTGTACAGGGTTTCTTGGTAAATTTTGGGAATACAAAAAGGTCTCAGATAAAAAGTCATTAAAGAATGAAATTAATGACACGCAATATTATATAGGTATTTGTAATAGGATGTACAGGGATACTCAAAACTATAAAAATATACAGGGTGTCCCATTAAAGATATAGAAAACTTATTTTTTGGCGCTCTCTGTAGATTGAATTCAACCAGATACCTACTACATTTTTAGTCGATACAAATAAACTACACAAGAGTACTGCAACTGTAACACTTTGGTGGCGAGTCTAAGAGGGGGGTTTGGGGGATATGGAATACTCCCCAACCAAACATACACTCTCTTCTCCCTGGAATGTGTATAGGTATCAGAATTGAACACATGTCATAACTCATAAATGATATTGATTAGATAATAAAATAATAAAAGTGCTGGGTTTCAACAGATACGTTCGTGCGGAAAAGTTAAGTTTTGAACATTTTTTATTTTTTTCAGATAAAGAAAGTTCGACGGCCCTCCATGAAAATGATCACAGGAATGCTTTGTGGGTGAGTGGCTTTTATTTAGGTGAAGGGTTGTAATTTTAGTGGTACATCGTATCAATTTGTTAGAAATTAGAGCTGCATGACTGCAGAAGGGTTTAGAGTGTCTCATTTATATTCTTCTAGTAAAGACAAGCATATCGCATGTTCTAAACATCAGATACAGTCCTCAAATCTACCGCAGTGTATAAAGAGTTCCTGTAACCTGCATCAATTTAAATGCCAACTTAAAAATTATTTAATTGTAAATTGTTTTTACTCCATCGCCGAATATTTCAAATTTTGCAAAGAAAAGTAGTCTTTTGAACTGTCTATTTTATGTATCTCATGTTTGTCATAGTTTAATGTCTTATTAATTGTTTGTCATATACTTATACTTACCATGACACTTCCTATACAATATCGTGAATTGTCCAAAGGAACTATAAATAAATAAAATTTAAAAAAAAATAAAATAAAAAAAACAAAAGTTATAGACTAGAAACTAATTTCGAAAGAAAATTCAAAGGGCTGTAACTTTTGAACTAGTAGCTCAATCTTGGAACTGTTTGAAATTATGGATTCTACAGGCCACGTTCTATAAGAATTTTTTTTTCCGGGTCGATCTGAGACAATTTTTTTTGAGGCCCGAAAAAAAAGGCTTCCTTTTTTTACCAAAAATCGACTGAACCAAAATTTCTCGGGAAAACACTTTTTCTTATTAATTTTGGTGCGTGGAATCCAAAACAATTCGTACTTTACATGACATTTCGGGAAGTACCTACTGATCAATTCATGGAAAATGCGCCTTAAGGCGAAGGCCTTTTTTTCCTTTTTTTATCTTCTATAGGGGGTGTTTAAATAGTTCAAAAGCTAGTTTGCAACTGCCTTTTAAAGGGTATCTCTTCATTGTGTTAAAATTACACAATTTTTAAGTAAAAAATCAGCTGACCTGGTCTGCATTTAGTACTAGGGTTGAATTTTCGTGGTACATCCTATAAATTTTACATTTTTCACGTCAAAATTGGCACGGATAGGACATTTATGGCCAACGCCCAGATTATAAGGTATCAACTAAAATCTTTGAAACAAAAATTTTGGAATAGTTAGTTACGGTCAACAGACAGCGCAAACTAATTCGATTGAAAATTAGGCCGCGATATTTTAGGTTTAATATTTTGCATGCTGGCATTCAACGCATAGCCAGGTCAGAACAACAGATTAATCGCAGCAAACTAAAAAAAATTGATCTCGAGCGTAGATTGCGAGCGGAAAAGAAAAAAAAAGCATTCAACATTCAGAGATTTCAAACTTAGACAAATGAAACGCAAACACCAAATGAAAAGAGTCGCATTTACTCGTCTGAATGTAGGTAAAATTGAAACGTAGAAGGAAGGCCTCTGTTTGTTCGCCAAGTTTGTCCTCATCTGCAATTGCAATAGAATTTTGCTCGGCCAGATTTTATCAGCGATTTAACAGCGATAGCGATAGAAAAGGGGGGCGTATTCGCGCTTAAATATTCAAACTTCATTTGTGTCACAATGGCCGGCTTACTGGCTATTTGTTTCACGCCTTGATGTGTCGAAACCCTTTGATCTCTTCCAGCGGTCATTTCCAAACAAAACGGTGCCAGTTTTGACACCCTTTTAACGCCTCGCCGCAACAAAGAATTGCAAATTCTAAATAAAATGGAAAATACTTCCGATGATTAATAGGGTAACGTTTCGACCGTGTATATATCATTTAAGAGGCGGCTTCGAAAGAAAGTTATTATCTCGAAAAAGGTATAATTGCCAACAAAACAAAAAATATATCAGAAACGATATTTCACGTGTTATTTTTCATTCGGCCACAATTTTTCATTTCGAACAAGATTTCTGTTTGTAATTTACCGTTTTTAATTGTTTCTTTGTTTCTGAAGCTGCATTTGGTTCCTTTTTTTCTTCGTTGTGGGCGCAGGTAGATCAGATTCCTTTATATGATTGGCATTTTAATTAGTCATCGTCGTAGTATTAGTAGTGGCGAGGGTGAGCCGGGCGTTATTTGTAACCGTACCAACTTAACAACAATAAAAGCTTTTAAACTGTAGGTACTTTAATTATATTTGCGCGTCGTTTTATCTGTTTGTAGGGCGTTATCTCGGTCGAGTAATGAATGTATTTAAGGCTAAATTTGAATGTGGCGCAAAATCAATAAGCAATTTGTGTAAAAATCGAAATTTGTGATAACGGAACGATAAAGGGGTTTACTTTACCCCCAGAACTCATAATAGCGCGATGCAACAATAATAATAATGATAGTATAAGCCGAGGCGAAATCTTCCCGACAGTAATTGGGCTTTTGTTAGCGGCGCCCGTTGCACGTCGAATTAAAATTCATTTAAATAATATAATCTACGTTGGCGGTGCAAAGTTTCGCTTATTAAAACGTAGGCAGTGTCGCTTAGTAAAGCCCGGGTACTCGGAAATTGCTAAGTATAAATTCACCTTAAGATGACGTTAATGAAATTTTCTTATTTCTATATTTATTGCGCTCGTGTGTCTGCCCCCGGAACATGCCAGGGACCGGGGATTACACTGGTTTCTCGGTTTTTGTAGCTATTTCATTATGAACTGAGGTGCGAAATATGTCGAGGGAATGTTATTTGTTGCCTCTTACTTGGGGTTAACTTTCTCACAAAAATCATTCTAATGTCTTTATTAATTTCGTTACTCGACGAATTATTCCCGCACTCCTCCTCCTAAACGTAAATTAGTTTTAAGCCGAAACATTCCACCTGTCTCGTTACGCTGTTTACAAACTACCTTCTTAAGAATTGATTAGGTGTTTTGACACTTTTTCCCTAAAGGCCCCGTCAAAATATTAGGTATTATGATTACATTTTGTCTTCACTAATACACGCAATTTGTCAAACCCTCGATATTATAATAAACTCGTCCCATATTATTTAAATAAAGTTGCCACACTGAGACATGCTGTGCCATCAGTGTTCAGGAGTATCCAATTTTCTCTGAGGGGAAGAAAATGGCGAAAAAGTAAGTTGTCTAAGTTTTCACAAGCAGAAAATAGGGATTCCCATTATGGGGTACCAAAAACTCTGACCTGCCATTGTTATAGGTTTTCACCCCACCTCTACCACTTTTTCTGCAAAATTATTCTTGAATTTTTCTCCCAGTCTAAACAGTCCAACGGTCCCACCTAAGAAATTGGTTGGCTAGAAGGAAAAACTAATTGCTGTAGGCTGAAGGTTTCAGACCGATTTTGGGTAAATATAGAAAAAGAAAAACTACTAGCGGCAGAATCGCGTACTACGAAAACTACGCGCGCAGCAACGTCATTCCGGAAACACTTTGATACCCGTAGTGCTGTCGTGCAATAATAATAAATAACCAGCTTTGGACACGACTGGGTCACCTAGCACTACCAAAATCATTGTAGTTGTCAAATTGTATATTTTGATTTTTCAGTAAAGAATTTTTATTAAAATGTACACCACACACAACCGTTTTCTGCTTTATTGTAACTAAAATAGCGAATCATTTCATTTGCAATAGAGTGCCTTGAAAACAAAAAATGATAATTGTTGTCAAACGTCAATTGTTTTTTATTGCCTACTTTACAATAATTAAAATAAGGTATAGACAGGGTATGTGGTAAATACATCATTTTACTAAAAAAATTTCTCTATGAAAAAATCCAATAATACAGTTCTAATAATATCGTAATCTAAACCGCCCATTGCTACCACCTTTCTGGTGAAGTGAACATTTAGAAAAATGCATTCTTCAATTTCTTTATGTAATATCCTCCGGACACTAAAAAACTTAATTCAAAAACGCTTTAATCAACAAGATATTTTCAGAATCTTATCTTAAAATTCCCCCAATAGAGGGACAGCAAGGCATCACAAAAATTGACTAAATTGTCCGCATTTTAAAAACATACAGTCGCGCTTCAAAATTATACCCAGGTTAATTTTCTTGCCAAATAAATGAACAAGGGTGGGGGTGGGGGTGTTTTTTCTTCATTATTTTATAATCTAACACCATTAGTGAGAAAGAGAAAAAATAAGCACTTTAAAGACGTATCATATGATCTCTGTTGCCATTTAAAAAAATTCAAGATGGCGATCATACTCAAAAAATTTTTTAGCTTTAAAGTATGTGAAATAATTTCAAATTTTCATCAAAGAAAAACCAAAAATTTCAGTTCGTGAGATTACACGTAACACTAACGATTTTGAGGAAACATATTCTCATAAGCTACGTTACGTCTTATTAATGACTAATGAGAATATTAATTATTAAATAATTTATTATATTGAACAATTAGAACCAGATTAATAATGTTGCAAAAGGTATAACCTTCTCAAATTGGTATTTAAACTCGTGCCAAGACGAATGCACCTTTACCAACAGTTCCAGTTAAATGATGCCCTCCTTCTCCGGATTTAACTTCGCTCGACTTCTTCGTGTGGAGTGAATCAAAAGACAAGGTTTTTTCGCCATTACCCCAAACCGGAGATGAGCTAAAAGACCGAATTACCATTCACGAATATGTATTGATTCGAGTAATAAACGGTGCGAGACGACGATGTCAATTATGCATTAAAAAAATGGATTTGAACATTTTCTTTAGTTCGTTATTATACAAGGACATAAAGGGATGTTTTAACCATTGAGTAAATTAACTTTCACGAGATAGTTAGTTTCCCTGTATCACCGTGTACAACACAAAACTTTATTTTATAGCAGAAACCATAGAAATCAGTATAATACTTTTGAAAATGGTGTAGGCATTTAATTTAGATTAGGTTCTCCCGTCATTTCCATTGGAACAATATCGTATTCTGTTCTGAACTTCATTTTATAATGTGCTCCGCGTTCCATTTTTAATAAGAATGCCAGATGTCATTGGAATGCACACTGATTTGTTTCACTTTATCTACTCTTGTCGTTAAACTGACTATTTTATTTACCCTTATGGTTAAAAAGACACTTAGTTTACTCATTCAAACCTATTAAATTGTCAATTTAATATCTGCTATAAAATAAATATTATTTTTATGGTTTTTTTAAGCAAACATTTATACTTAAGTTATACCAAATACATTTTGCTGTTTTTTCTTAGCAACCATTTTGTTCAATGCACAACTGGCACCTACGAATTACGCGATACATGAATTTAACAAAACAAGCGATAAGCATCAAGTATTATCTGTCTCGGACGGTCCACATTGTCTGGGACTGTCTCGGACGTGGCCCCCGAAAAACATCTACTTCCACCTTGTAGGAAAATGTTCAAATTTAGTGGATCGTTGTGTGGTGCGACCCCGTCTTGTTGAAAATACAATCCGTTTAATTCTCCAAGAGAAAATTCATGAACATTTTCATTCAGTATGTCATGGTATCGTTGTTGATTGAGAGTCCTGTAAATAAAAAATGTCCCTATTAATTAATTACAACAAATTCCGCGTCACACATTTAAACTAAGTCTTCGCTGGCTGGAGATTAGTTTCCACAGTATCTTGCGGATTTTTGCGGCTCCAGATTTCGTGATTTTTTTCTATAAAACCGTGGATCTTGTTGCAATTGATTTTGCCTGCGAGCATTATCATTTGCATGTACTTTTTGCGGAAATTTTATGTCGTTTTAAAACTACGGCGCATCTGTTTGGTGTGATGCTCCAATGTTTGCTGCGATTTATGGAGTGGAACTTTGTGGATTTACTGTGACATTTAGCCAAGCATTCAATTCAACGCCCTCATAAAAAAATGGCGTTCTTCTCTCTAGGGTTTTTTGAAGGAACCATAATTTGGCAAGTTTTCTTCCCGCCTAGCAAATTTGAGTGGTTCTGGAGGATCTCAATTAGGAAATCGTTCACTGCTTGCCCACGGTTTATATTGCGAAGTACACTTGCAAAATTGCAGTTAATTGATTGAAATCCATAAAAAAAAATTAATCCAGCAACCACACTAAAAAGCGTAATGGCAGCTGTTACACAATTGTTTCCATGGCGTGCTATAAAATTTCTCACGGTTTCTGTTACACTCGATGCGTTGTTTTCATGGCATGCTACAAAATTTTAAAACATTAGCTTCTTTAATTTTTAGTGTGAAAAATTCCAATCAAAGGTAACTTTGATATTAATCGTTGAATTTAGGGGAACAAATTCTATCAAATTCAATTAAAGAAACATAATCATGCCATTTAAAAAAATTAAGTCAACTATTAGTAGCCCCCGAAAATAATTTTCATTATGGTCATTTTCTAGTATTTTGGCAGTCATTAAATACCAAAACTGTAAGCGCTACAGCTTGCGTCGTTTTTTAAATTACACCCTGTATGTGTTGATTTATGAATTAAAAAGACAATTAAAGTCACTATACAGCTTTACGAACTCATACAAGCGGCAAATATCACCTTCCGTTCTTCGAATTATCGCGTCTACGAAGGAAGTACGACTAAATAAAGGACTTTTTCGCTCTAAAGGTGTCTTAACGATTGGGTAGGCGATATGTTAGAATAAATTTGTGCAGAAAAGAAAAATCACGCTTTTCTATGCAAGGGAGTACACCAAAAAAACTGCTGCGCCAAAAACCCAGATCAAGGTGGAAGGAAGGCGATCAATTAAATCATTTATTTGGATTTGGTATTTTGAAATTAGACTTAAAGCTGACTTTCGGGAGCATATAATTTGAGATAGTACTATGCGATCAAAAAAGAGTTGCTATCGAGTCACCTTTGGAATTTTTGTTTACATGGAAAAAACTTGGAACTTCCAAAGGCGACTCGATGTGAATCCATTTTTGACCGCCCGTTATATAATCTCCAGTTTTCTATTCGCATTATCTTTATCAAAAGCAGGACACCTCAGCATCATTGAAACATATGTTTTTCTAGACCTAATAGTATCAGTTTTAGTTTTGCAGTTTTGCGCCACTTCCTATGGAATATGTGGGTGAGTTGTGGTTTTTGGGCGACAAAATCGCATAAAATCTCTCATATTAATTAATTTGAATATCGTTGCTTTGGCTTCAGAGAAAATAGATCTCTTGTGCTTTTTAAACGGTAACCCGCAATTGACAATATCACCTTTTTTTCAGTTGAATACATCGCACATGAACGAAAATAAAACTATGGAAGACGAAGCAACAAATATTCAAATTAATTAATATGACAGCTAGATTTATATTTTTTTGGTTTATTTGATTTATTTATTTTACCTTTATTTTGGAGTGGGCGCCCTTTAGAAGTGTTTGTTATTTAAAAGTTCGCGATTCAGATTAGCACTGGAGGCGGTGGGGCATTTTTTAAAATATTCTTATTGTTGGTTGCACTATGACCACATTACAATTCTTGAAAGTAACTTGACGTGGATAGAAAAAAATTTAAGTAACAAAACATTGTGCTCATATCTTTCTTTGAAATAATTTGTCTCTATTTCTAGCGATCTGCAAATGTTCGTGCCTTCGGGAATGATGATGGTCGGAAGCCATTGCGAAAGCCGCTGACATCGTCATCGGCAACTAGATCCTTGGAGGGAGTTGTGATGGAATACATGATCTGATGGTATGTTCAAAATGTTGTGCATGTGCAATGATTATGATAATTTTACTGTCGTCAATATTCTTATTAACTTTGGTGCGTAGAATCCAAAACAATTCGTACTTTTTCGATTAGAGTTGTCAATCAAAAGTTACGGACTAGAAACCAATTTCGAAAGAAAATTTAAAGGTCTGTAACTTTTGAACTAGTAGCCCAATCTTGGAACTGTTTGAAATTATGGATTTTACAGGCCACGTTATATAAGAAATTTTTCCGGGTCGATCAGAGACAATTATTTTTGAGGCCCGAAAAAAAAGGCATTATATAACCTTCCTTTTTTACCAAAAATCCCTCTCCACTAAAATGAAAGATTGCCTATACGCAAATGAGCAGCTATTGATGGCTAATTGCTGTCATTGGTTTTAGTGGGCTTACGGCGTTAATGTCTAATAAAAAATTAGGGTAACATTTGCTGAAAAACCGATGAAAATTGTATAAAACATGAGTCACGTTTTTCCTCTCGACTTTTGAAAAGAGGCGGAAGGAAAGCGGTTTCGGTCATCACTTTAAAAACGGATTGGACTTTTTTCCATTTATATGAAAATAAAAGCATTTATCTGTGCGCAAAAAGCTAAAGAGGAAGCCAAAACTAATCACAACAAAGGAAAATGATCAAACACGAGGGGCTGCCGCAATAAAATTGCAGTTCCATTACTAAAGCGGACCCATCCATTTGATAGATACGTACATATAATCTAGTGAGACTTCATTAGTCGCCATAAATTGATTATGACTTCTGATTGAGTTCCTCCGCAAACGTATTACGAGTGGTAATCGAATTAAAGGACCGCAGCTCCGTTTCGACGTTTCCACCGAAAGGGGTAAATGAAAGGCAATTTGATCTTGTTTTGGTTTAAGTTACAATAGTGCGCCATCGTCGTCGTCCTCATCGAGAAACCCACCCAGACGGCGACTGCGAGGATGGGGGTGCCATCGTGTCACGCGAAGGGGATGCGGCTCTCGGTAACAATGAAGTGATCTACAACGTTCGCTATTGTTTTAACATGTTCTTCTCGCATTTGATATCGGGCAAATCTTTTGTGATAAAATCTTCGAGTTGATTGAAATCGGATCTCGTATAGGGGACAATTTTACTTTAAAAACGCTTACTAAACGGAAACGCTAATAATAAACGTGCACGGATCGATGTATAAAAAAGTTTTGAATTTTTAATTGAACGGAGAAAAATTCCATTTATACTTTTTAATAACCGGCGCGTAACCCTAAAACCAACCCCATCGTTCTATACGAGTGAGCGGTTTATAAAGCAGCAGAAACCCATTTGGACCTTGTTTCCCTCAAAAGAAATTATAAAATTTGTGTAATTACCTTTCGAGTAATACCTGTAGAGGCCGCAGGTGGCGTTCCGTATCTTTAATTAATGCCATTACATATTCATCAACTCAAAGAAAGGGTTGCCTCTTAAAAATATCTATTTACCCCTCTCTAATATTTTCGCGCCTTACTTTTATATGCGCCTCGGAATGTTATTCTTGTCTTGAATAATTAATTCGTTTTACGTCCGATATAAAACGTGCTTTTCTTTAGTTACCCCTTTAAATGTACCAAACAAGACTTTTTCTCCTTACAAAATTGTATTTTATCCACCCTCAAATTAATTCAAATGCGCATTTATATATTTCGTAAGTTGTATGTATAATAAAATATTGATATTACTATATCGGTGAAATGTATGAGACTGAAATTTTCAACCCCTTCTATAGACGTGGTACTTGCAGAGTCCGATTTTTTATGGCAATGGACCATCATTACGAAATCCTTCCATTATACCTAAATTATTAAGATGGCAAATTTAGTTCATACACGGTAGAGCAAATAAAACTCCCCCCCCCCTCCCCCTAATAAACCAGTTTTCGAAAAATGAACGAAATAGTGCTTGAACATGTCCAATTGCTACCGAAAGGATAAGGGGATCAAAATTACCCCCACGTTTGAGTGTTACATTTCATGCCTTTAGTTAGGGCAGTCACTCAAAAATTTCAATGGCACATAAAATCGCGTGATGTTCAGGAAATTTGCCCGTTAGGTATTCTCGCGCGATTAGGGCGTTATACGTGGGTGCACCATCCTGTTGAAACCAACAGTTTCCAACTTTTTTTTGTTTTTATGTGCCGTACATCATTATATTCGTAATAAAAAATGGCGCTCAATACACTATGTACTTTTTTTACAGGCCATATAAAAATTAATAATGATTCCTCCAAAACGAAACGTTGTATTGAAAATCTTATTTTTTCTGGAATATCTTCGGAATTTTCTGGATTTCATTACAGCATGTTAATTACACTTTAATTACACAACTCATTTGACATTCTTCTGTGGTTCTCATGATAGAGATCCTTATCTTGGACACCTGTTCTGCGGACTCTTAAATTAAAATCATTGAATTTAATTGAAATAACGCCCAAATTTAATGTAATGTAGTTCAAGCATTCCTGATGAAAACCAAAATTAACATTCGATCGGATTTTGACGTGTTCCAGCACTTTTTGTAAATTTTCCAGAAAGTGGTTTATTAGTGAGTCAAATTTTGGTACGACACCTTGTAGATTAACACAAGAAATGAATATTTTCACGCGTCGAAAGGTTTCGTCACGAAGGTCTTTCTAGAACCTATAATTTGTAAATACAAGTATGGCCTATTGGCCATGTAAGAAGAGGCAGATGGACCAAGTGACTATATTATAATATAACATAATATAATAATAATTATATTATGTCGCGAACATTCTAAAAGCTTTCTTTTTGTTCTTTTCGTTAGTACATAATTAGTAATGCAGAAGCTGAAATGAATAAGTAAAATGCCTTATCACACAAAACCGTCAATTCGATGGACCTGTGTAGAGGGGGTAACTTTCACTCGTAAAATCTTGAGAGAGGGGTGGTGGCATGGTGCAATATTTTAAACGCGACCCTGTATAATGATTAATGAACTTCTTTAAGCGCATTGAAACGTCAAATAAGCAACGCAATTGTTTTAACTTATTTACCAATTGTTTGTTGTATAAAATTTGAATTTAACAGCCTACTAGATCAAACTGGTATTTTTTACATATATATTTTTAAAGAGCTTAAATTCTCTAGAAGAATATGCAAAAAACAAGCAATTTAAAAAAAATGTCAATGGTGTCATATGTTGTGTAAATGAAGGTGTTAGTTTTTTTCCGAGGTGTAGCTAATACTGCCCCATTTCGTAATATTGAATTATATAGGGTTTGTTAAGGTTAAATCATAATTAAAGTCGCTATAGCCTTGCAAACTTGAAATTTGAAAAGTTTGAAATTGAAACTTGCAATTTTTTTTTAATTGTATCGTGTGTTTACATATGTTTATAAAATAGAGGTTTAAATTACAAAGTGTACGATAGAACTGTAACATCTTGTACAAGGTGAGTCAATGATTGCGCGGGGTAACTTAATGCCTTGAAGATAAGATTTTTCGATAGAGTGCTTTTGTATTATGATATGGTTGAATATTCTCCATATTTTAAAAATATTTGGAATTATACAGGGTGCACCCACAAAGTAGGGCGCCCAAATGATACATTTTTTTAAATAGAACTCCCTGTATTGTACGTCTTTTTTATTATATTGTTAATACCCGAAAAGCTAGTAGTTTTAAAGATAATTCGATTTTTAAGAAAAATTGGGCATTTGCAAGCGTCAGTATATATTGTCAAAATTATTACTTAAATTTTGATTCCAGGTTTTATATCTTATCCTCCTCTTATCAAAAATTCATTCAAATACAGGGGGTTCTATGTAAAAAAATGTACCATTTGGGCGACCTACTTTGTGGTCGCACCCTGTATAATTTCAAATATTTTTAAAATATGGAGAATATTCAACCATATCGTAATACAAAAGCACTCTATCGAAAAATCTTATCTTCAAGGCATTAAGTTACTCCGTGCAATCGTTGACTCACCCTGTACATCGGTTCGGTAACCAAGCGTTTGCGGACCTATGTTTATATGAACTGTTAGTCAGAAAATTAGTCCCTTCCGTATTTACATCATATTTAGAAACATCCTGAGTTGTTTATTTATATTAATGGGTAAGTTCAATAATAATGAAATATAGGCGTGTTCGGAAATACGCTCGGATCCGTCGATTTCGTTTTTGGAGTGCGCATATTTTGACACGGTGCCCCAAAAAAGCGTGGTAGAAAAACTATAAATCCTTAAATAAAATACTCGTACAGTATTGCATTTTTTTGGGGGAACTCGGTATACCTACATTCTGTGTCAAAATATGCGCAATCCAAAAACAAAATGGACAGACTGAGCGTATTTCCTAACACGCCTCCACTTGATTTTTACTGATTTTATCCGTTATTAAATCACAACCCTGTATACAGGGTGGTGACTTGCGTAACGCATCGTAGGGATTTCAATGTAAAATTCATAACATGCGATTATTGGCTCCCCAAATTATTTTAGAGCAAAAATCTATTAAGGTTTTTTGTAGAAAAAATTTTTTTACGTCAAACCACCGTATTAGTTTTCAATTTTTTCCATATAAAGATGGAAAATTGGAAAAATAAAACCCGCATCTTTTTCAATAATCTGCGATGCCATGGAATTTTCTAAAACAAAAAGATATCGAGTTATCAATTAGCAGCAGTTCGAAATGGATTTTATGATCGACTTGGTTACTGTCTTGCAGTTAATGGCGACTTATTCGAACATTTATTGTAAATTGTTATATTAGGAAACCGTTTTTAGTAATTTGGTCTTTCTATATGTTGAATTCGCTGTTCTAAATATAGTATACTTTTTGATAGAATTTGATTTGTTTTATAGCAGACATTCCATGGCATGACGGATATTGGCGTTGTTTTTGCATGATAAAATTCCATGGCATAGATTATTGAAAAAGATGGGGGTTTTATTTTTCCAATTTTCCGTCTTTATATGGAAAAAATTGAAAACTAATTCGGTG